GTGACTATGAGTATAGTGTGTATTAGCGTGTATATTTCAATTTCTGTACAGTCTAATCTCTAATTGTCATACCATTCGAATATCATATTAAGAAATTATTTTAACCCAAAAAGAAAAGTATGCTCCTTTCGAACTGGTTGTCTTTAAAATACAAATCTTGTGTAATCCCAAGCTATCTGTAATAGGAAGCACATTTAAAATTGGAATATAATTTAATTTCATTCACATGTGTTTCATAAACACATAATCCTTTCTGGATTACAATCAGCCATCAAAATGATACACTTAATCATTCTAGCTGCTGTGAGAAAAGGCTATAAACGATCTGCCACCTGCAGGATCCTCACATGCGATAGCCTAGTAGCCGGGACAACTTCTTTACGTTTACAGACGTGACGTAATGAAGCAGCAGCATGCTCGAATTTCCTGCGAAAATCTACCCGTACCACTCAAATTAGAAAACATTATTATAAGCTAACCGCTGTGAATCGGGCTAAAGTAAGGCGATAGTTTTGAACACTGTCTGGTTATGTACTTGCTCAAATATTGATTTTGGATAATTTAACCAAAAAAAAGTTACGGACTGCAGCTTTAAATTTACATTTAGACATTTAGCAGACGCTTTTATCCAAAGCGACTTACAAATGAGGACAATGGAAGCAATCAAAATCAACAAAAGAGCAATGATATGCAAGTGCTGTAACAAGTCTCAGTTAGCTTAATGCAGTACGCGTAGCAAGGTTTTTTAAATAATATAGCCTAATAAATAAAAAGAAAACAGATAGAATGGAAAAAGAATAGAGCAAGCTAGTGTTAGAAGCCTTTTTGCTTTTGTTAATTGTAAAAATTTAAATGATGTGCGATCTATACCAGCATTGCCTTCACGATCGACCTAATGGGCACCCCGTTTTGACAATACTATAGCACAAATGTCATGCCAGTAAAGTAACTTTAACTTGAACTTGAGTGATCACAGAATTTTCATTTTTGGGTGAACTATCCTTTTAATAGGTTAACAGTAAGTTACTTCAGTTTGTGGAGGTTATTTGTGATGAACTTTGATTTTTGTCGCGAGTTTTTCTCTTTACCACGTGTTATTAGCCTACAGTGGTTGCCAGTATATTTTACATACATGTACAAAACAGATTTTAGTAAAAGCATGACCTATATAATTCAACAGAAAGGGTATGTTGGATTTTTATTTATTTATTTATTGGTAAATTGCAGTTTAAACTAACTTTTTACTGTGAAACCACAGCTGCATTATTATAGCCTTTTTCTTCTCTCATCACAGAACTCTGTGATGTGGTGAAGGGCAGCTCATCTGACCAGAGGCCAAGTTTGGACAAATCAGATCAATAATAGCCTACATGCCGTTACCTTTTCTGCAATAAAATTTGTAAGGACCACCATGACAAAAAGTAATAAATAAATCTTTGTTATTCATCCTCCTGTGTGTTTTTAATATGCGGTGAAAAAAAATTCACATTTGTACCCTTTACATTAAATGCTATCAGAAAAATGCAAAAATACATAAATATGAGAAAGAGAGATTTGAGATTGTGTGGGTAAGTCCAGTATTTTTTGGGACTGTACTAATTTCTAAACACAAGGTCATCAAGGTCATCTGCATATTCCAGTTGGCCAAAGTGGAACTCACAGAAACCACTGCATCATTTCAAATAAAGAGAGAGCGAGAGAGAAGATATGTACTAAATGACTGGACTATTACTCGATCTACAGAGCACAATATTCTGAAATCTTCTTCCTTAAGTTTCATGCGGAGTATTTTGGTGATCTTGACTGTTCTTCGCTGCATGTGTTGTTTAATTCAGGCAAGTCTATCAGACTGCAAAGAGCTTGTAACACCACTAACCCTGGAAGATAACTACAAAAGTGAAAGTACACTTTTTAAGATATTATACAGCTTTCTTATACCTTTAGCATGAGTGAGCAAGAAAGCATGCCTGGCTGCACCTAGTTATAAGAACAAGCAACATCTTGTGTAGAGTCTGTGCAAATATTAAATGCAGATGCTATCAAAACAAATATGCATTACTGTGGTGAAACTAATATGCTGCTCATGATAAAAATTAAGATTGTTGAACAACTCACCTGTAGTTTTTATGATGAATAATTTATGATTAGTGACTAATTTTAAAAGCAGGGTCCTGTGCCATTCAGAACTCAACTAAATACCTTTTAAATTCCAGTTCAACTTCTAATTTCAATTACTTCTAATGTTTTGGGAAATACCTCATATGTTGTGTATATAGGTTTATATGCAATTTACTGCATATTGAAAAAAATATATTATTATTAAATAAATTAACTAACTTGCTTACATTTTATGTTTTATGGACCATGGTGGAGTAAGTTCTTAAAGTCTGAATTTTACAGATTAATTTTGTTTACAATAGATCATGGAGAAATGGATTGTCCGTAAAGGTGTCTCTGATCTCTGGTCATTTATGAACTCACTGAAGCGTGCAAACAGCTCATGGATCGATGTTGGCCCGAAAACTCCTGCAAACACTGCAACCCTCTATCACGAGTACATCATGTAAGATTCTTTACGTCACTTCCTCCAGTTTGTGCATCCTTTGTAATTTAATGCTTAATGACCAGGATTTTGAGTCATATCTTTAAAATCTGATCATTCTCCCCTTCAGAAATGGAGACTGTTTAGTTTATACTATCAAGTTATGATAGTATAAGTTTATACTATCAACATAACTCTGGTAAGGCATTAATTTCATTCAACACGTTATGTTAACACTATTTCAGCTGAGATCAAGGGTTGCTGACTTACATGACTTTTTGATCTACAGAAAATGACACATTAGAAGGCAAATTTCTGCCATCCTGCCCTGACTGCCTCACCATGCACATAAGCAACCGATTCAACAATATGACCAAAATGCACTCTACCATGGGCACAGACTGTTAAAAAAACATAATAATAATAGCACATTTTATTTCTCATTTAACCCTACAGAGAGAGAGATCAACCCAACAAAGTCTGACATGGACATGTACTGGAAGCAAGCTGAGTGTCTTGGAATCAAAAGAGAAACCCAGTACTCCTATGATGGAGTACCAGGTCAGAGAACCCAGTCTGAGAAAAAACTAAATATATGGATTAAATCCTATAGGTCTGATGGACTTTAATTATATTAACATCATGTGATGATCAGTATTCTACAGAATCTCTTTAAATATTATGTGAGCATCAATATAATTAAATTGTAGCTGCAAAAATCAGGAAATACACCTCCAAAATATTTAGTTACATGAAGGTATTTTTAATTTCTAATTACATGTTTTCCTTCTTATTCTCATTGCAGAACCATGTCAGGTGGCTAAGGACAGCTCGCCTGAGCAGAAGTCAAATTGGAACAATAAATAATGAACACTAATATCAAAAAGAGAGACAAATATTGTGACAATAAAAATGATACTCACATTCAACACTTACGTACAACTTTATACCTATGTTACAATTAATTATTTCACCCACACCTTAGTTAAATAACCATAACAAAAAAGCTTCTGATAATTTATATATTCTCTTTTGAATAGGCTTACCTATCTATTTCACATGACAAGTCAAATGCATAATTTGGATCAACAGATGTTTAAAATGGAATTAAAGTATTAAGAAAGAAATAAAGCTGTTATGCTTTTATCAACACTAAAACAAATATAAATAGGGATATTTATACCTCCATCCATAATGCATGACTAATGCAAAACTAGTAAGAAAACTACCAAAACTACTAAGGCAAAACTAGTAAGAGGTTAACGTTTTCAGTGTTGTTAGGGATTGCACCCCTAGGTGTCACTTTTTCCACATACAATCCTTCACGGAGTCAGAAAGCTCCAGATCATTCTTATATATGACCAAACAGTCACCATTAAATGAACATTTACAGATGAAGAACACCTGAAGAACAGTTCCCGAGAAACTGATAAACCAGCTTAAACCAAACCAGTGTCTGACTGTGACCAGTACTATATTTCCATGATTACACTATAAAATAAGAGAACTGAATTAGAAGGTTCTCTTGTCTTGTTATTACTTGGAAAAAAATATAACGTTTTATCGTAATGTAAAATGTCCATGTGTTTTTATTTAGGTAGGCCTAATAGCGCTCGACATTAATTTACAGTTCACGGGATAGTTCTAAACTACTTTAGCCTACATTGAAGCAGATAGCCTACACATAATAATGTTATATCAAAATCTGAGACATATAGATAATCTGACAGACGTGTAAACGCAATGTGTGAAAATGAATACTAATGTCAGCCGCGTCGTCGTGAATATGCATCGACTCAGACTGGATGAATATTCATGAGCTGGACAGGTGGAGGATGGAACTGCTGCGGTTTGGAGGTGTGAGCGGATTACAGCGAAGTTCCTCGTGTGGCATCAAGACACCACCAGCTGACAACACGATTCGTGACTATTCGTGTAGCTGGCCTGATCTCAGAGAGTAGGATGCATTTCAAAAGGATTTTCGTCAAATTGTGACATTTTTCCAGTTCATCCAGACGTCGCGGGGAAGAAGCAGCAACTAACCTTTCTTACTTGTTATATCTTGAGGATTTTGCCTTCTCAATAGTAGCCTAGTATTCTGGTATTTCTGTGGACTGAGATGAGATGAGGTCCTGGCATGGCAAACTGTTCTTCTTCGCGGGTTTTGTATGTGTGTTGATGTTAACCTCATGGCACACATCAAAGTCAGGTGAGCGTGATCAGCCTGGTAGGGTGGCCTATGAAATATTCGGATTGGTTATTCGGAATTTGCATTTATGAACACTTTTCTTGTTTTTATTGTTTGACAATTTATGTACTGACATTTTGGACTTGAAGGAGTTGTTGAGAGATTCATTTTTGAGAGATTCTATGACATGACATGTTTAGTTATTTCTTTAGTTAGTCCTCAATCAGTTGTCAACCTGTCAGACGTGCAATGTCAGCTTCCTGTACGCCGAACAAACTGGTATTGCAGGAATTCTTTCCATATGTGACCCTGGACCACAAAACCAGTCTTAAGTTGCACAGGTATATTTGTAGTAATAGCCAAAAATACATTGTATGGGTCAAAATTATTTATTTTTCTTTTATGCCAAAAATCGTTAGGATATTAAGTAGAGATCATGTTCAATGAAGATATTTTGTACATTTCCTACTGTAATTATATCAAAACTACATTTTTTATAAGTAATATCCTTTAAAGGCGATTTTCTCAATATTTAGATTTTTCTGCACCCTCAGATTCCAGATTTTCAAATAGTTGTATCTTGGCCAAATATTGTCCTATTCTAACAAACCATACATCAATGGAAAGCCTATTTATTCAGCTTTCAGAATTGTATAAAGCTCCATTTAAAAAAAAATAAAAAAATGACCGTTATGACTGGTTTTGTGGTCTAGGGTCACATATTTGTTTGTTTTGAGTCAGTAAATACTACAAAAGATGGACGAACATTTTAAAAAGGTGATTTCTGTTTTTTAAATATTGTCAACAATCTGTTAGAGCAATAATATTTTAATAAAACAATAAAATGTTGATAAATTGCAATGTGACATCTCAAGTGAAATTTTATGTGACCCTGGACCACAAAATCAGTCATAAGGGCCAGCTTTTTGAAAGTGAGATGTATACATCACATGAAAGCTGAATAAATAAGCTTTCCATTGATGCATTTTTTTTAGGATAGGACAATATTTGGCCGAGATACAACTATTTGAAAATCTTGAATTTGATGGTGCAAAAAAATCAAAATATTGAGAAAATCGCATTTAAATATTTCCAAATGAAGTTCTTAGCAATGCATATTACTAATCAGAAATTAGGTTTTGATATATTTACGGTAGAAAATTTACTAAATATATTCATGGAACATGATCTTTACTTAATATTCTAATGATTTTGGCATAAAAGAAAAATCGATCATTTTGACCCATACAGTGTATTGTTGACTATTGCTACAAATATACCCATACTACTTATGACTGGTATTGTGCTCCAGGGTCACATATTAGCTTATATTATATTGTATTATAAAGGTAACATGATTGAAAAACCCTGCGCTTCAGTGTAGGAATTAAATGAAACCATATGCCCAACAACAACTAAATGCATCACGGCAAAGCAGCTTTGAGTTTCTGTAGGCAGCAATTAAACATGATGATTGATATAAATTGCACCATATGCACATTTCCATTGTAAGTTCCTCTAGGAACCACGATTTTCCCTTTTTTCAAACTAATTATTTTTAGAAGTCATTCATTTATGTGGTGATCAACATTATGCCACAAATGCTGTTGCAAGACTTAACTTGTTTTCAGCCCTGAAACATCCCTTTAATTCACATCAAGTGATGACTGGCACTCTGTGTATCAGATAACTTGCCATCGCAGCTGCATTTGGTCTATGAGAGGTTACTGCGGGCAGAACAACGAGGGGAGGTCTTATCGCAAGAGCTGCTTAAAGTGCTTGGTCAACTTCAAAACCGCAGCATTGCTCCATCGAATCTCACAATCAGTAACTCCTCAGGTGAGTCCAAGCACATTTCTTGCTGTAATATCCGTGTCTGTTCAGTTATTCAGTATTTTATCTGCCATTTTAGCTTTATTAGAAGAGAGGGTCCTTCGGCGCTTGTTGCCTTCGCAGCCTAATGCCCACATCTACTTGCCTCACCTGAAGGAGCATGAGGGCAGTCTGAAACCCATCGTTCATCTGGGGCAGCGACGCACTGGAGGTCTGTCTCCCATTATCATTTTTTGTGATTGTATTGTTACAGTGCTTGCAATGTAGCAATTGAATTTGATTTAAACATACTTGTCATAAGTAATATTGATGTCTTACTGTGTTAAACTTCTATGAAGGGAAAAAAAAAAACAAGTATCTTTTGCATAAGAAGTTAAGATCTAAATCTCCGATCCACAAAATGTAACCACAAGCAATGATATCATTGTAATATTTACATACTTAATTCTGATTGGCCTTCTTTTCTATACCTCTTTGCATACTGAATTTTGCTCTTTGCTTTTGTGTGTCTCTTAAATCAGCTATAGCTGCTGTTACACTGCAAATATTGTTTATGCACCTGCTGAGTGTCATGAAAGCAGCAAAGCATCACAGCTGCAGCATTTTATTTGAAAGCCTAATTAACCCTTAAAAACCCTCTTCTTTTTCCAGCAAATCTAACATGATATATTGTATTATGATGTTTTATTTAATTATTGAACATATGCTATCATAATGTTTCTTTTACTTTGTCAGTTTTATACACTTTTACACACAACCACAGTAATGCAGTCACCATAGGAAGACAAGCTGACACACAGTTTTAACTGTTTACGCAGTGTCTCTGGTGTTAGGAGTACCAACCGTGCACAGGCAGAAACAGAGTTATCTAGTGAACACACTCCAGTCACTCCTATATGACCTTTCAACTGCCGAGAGGAAAGATATTGTCATTGTAGTCTTTGTTGCCGAGGTAACCATTTACTTGTGCTCTTTGTTCTCATATATCTCTCCTGGCTTTATCTGTTTTATTGCTCTTGTAAGGTTGCATCAAACTTTATGGTTCTATATCAGTTCATTCCTTAATTCTTTCCTGTCAAGCCATTTTATATTATGAGTTGTTAAGTCGGATTTTTAACCAGGGATTTTGATGGTGTTGTACACACAGAAAAGTTCCTACTTCCTAATGCTTTCACAGATTTTTGTTTACAAAAAAGTCATGTAGGCATCTTTTCTCTGGCTGATCTGAACTAATGCGAATCTGTGGGCTCATTTAATACAATTAGTTGTAGCAAAAATGTGTCACAACATGCATAAATGTTCTACTGATCTTGAACTTTTGGCCTGAAGGTGTGCAGATTCGTCTTTATTCCTGATTTTAACTTTATTTCAATCAATGTACCCAAAAGTTATTTACAATATACAGTACACTACCGATGAAAAGTTTGGAATCAGTACGATTTGTTAATATGTAATATGCAAAGCTGAATTTTCAGCAGCCATTACTCCAGTCTTCATTGTCATATGATCCATCAGATATCACTCAAAGATGCTGATTTGTTGCATATTAAAAAAAAATTTGATGCTTAATATTTTTGTGGAAATTGTAATTAATTTTTTGATGAATAGAAAGTACATCAATTGTCTGAAATATAAATCTTTTGAAAATTTTAAATGTATTCACTGTCACTTGTATTCAATTTAATGCATCCGTGCTTAATAAAAGTATTAATTTCTTTAAAGAAAATAGGTTACACTTTATTTTAAGGTGTCCTTGTTACAGTGTAATTATACATTTAAGTACTGAGTAATATTAATTAACTACATGGTTAGGGTTAGGATTAGGATTAGGTTTTGGCTTAGGGTTTCTTCCATGTAATTATGCATAATTAATAGTAATTATAATAGTAAGTACATGTAACATGTGTAACAAGGACACCTTAAAATAAAGTGTTACCAACAAATCTTAATGATCCCAAACTTTTGAACAATAGTGTTCTTTGTTATTTTCATTGATAAGTATTTTCATTCTTCTCTTAGACAAATGCAACATTTGTGAATGCTGTTGTCCAGACTGTACAGACCAAGTGAGTGTTTCATTATTTACTCGTCTGCTTCATGAGAGATCTTTAAACTCGCTGTGCAAGTAACTGTGTATTTGACTCTGTGTAGTCTCCCAGATGCTGTCAGATCCGGAGTGATAGAGGTGATCTCTCCATCTCCTCACTATTACCCAGACTTTAGTAACCTGAAGGAAACGTTTGGAGACCCCAAGGAGCGAGTCAGGTTAGAGATTCACCTCTTGTGCAAATGTAACTTGAAATAGATGGTGTCTTAATTGTGAAGCATGTTATACTGATCATAGATGGAGGACCAAGCAGAACCTTGACTACAGTTTCCTCATGCTGTATGCGCAGTCTAAGGGCACATACTACGTCCAGGTAATGCCAAAGACACTGTCATACAACTCAATGTTAGCTCTATGTTTCATTGCCTTTATCAGTCTGAGTCTGTGCATATGTGTTTCAGCTTGAGGATGATATTGTAGCAAAGCAAGGATTCTTTCAGTCCATGAAAAAATATATAGCGCAGGTGCTTTCTGAGGAGTGGCTTTTCCTGGAGTTTTCCCAGCTGGGGTTCATTGGTCAGTGTTTTGTCCTCTCCGTTCATTGATGTCCTGTCTTTTTCTAAACTCTCTCATTCTCTTCTCTCCCACCATTTCTGTTTGGTCAGTTCTTTCATTTGTCTGCTGTTTTGTTATTTGTACACCTGGACCAGTTGTTCATTGTTAGTCGTGCAGTCTCAGTTGTGAATGCAATTTTATGGTCTTTATTTTTACAGTAGCAATGAGATATCTTTTATTAGTCGGTGTCAAGAGGGTCAGAAATAAATAGGAAGGAAATATGGGTCCTCTTTGTTAAAAAAAACACAGCTTCTGCTAGCATTTGCTTATTTACATATTTGCCTTTAAAATAATTCAGTTCAGATCCTCTTGATTATTCAAATAATCAACCAGGTTTTCTCAGAGTAGCATCGGATTTCAAGGAACATTGTCAGTGTCTCACAGCTCCCATAGATACTGTTTACTATGACCAAATCTATTTGTGTCCTAGCATGAAATTGAGT